ATATGCAGATTTGTGAAGTTACACCTGTGAGCTGTATAATATCCACAGCCCTAAAAGGCCAACAAAATGCACCACGATGAAACCCAGAAACCAAACATTTAACCAAGGGTGAATACACAAGCATAGACAAGGACAGGACGGTGGTAAATGATGCTGTGAGGACACCTCCACCCCCAGAATCACCCAAATCACCATAGGTCAAACAACAGAGCCCTTCACTCTCAGACTCCTGACTTGTGGTTCCTACAGTTTCTAGAAGTAGAATAGGAGGCAGAGCCTTCAGCTTTCAGGCTCCTGTCCTGTGGAACCAGCTCCCAGATCAGCCTCACTTATCCCCTTTATACTCCCTGTGCATTGTTATTCCACTAGATCATTTTATTAAATTTCGTCTTCTCTCTCTATAGTTTATACTTTTTTTCTTTTCTCATCCTCCACACTCCCAAAAAAGTAGCAGAAGATCGCTGCTGTTTCTTGAGTCTGACTCCTCTCTTGTTGAAAGTGAGTTTTTCCTTTCCACTGTTACCAAGAGCTGCTCATAGGGGAATCATCAGGTTACTGGGGTTTTCTCTCTCATATAAAATGTAAAGTACTGTGAGGCAGCTGTCGTTATGATTTGGTGCTATATAAAAAAAATGAAACTGAAATACACTTTTTTCACATGGTCTTCCTGGATTAAATATCTTTCTTGAGGATTTTCCCTTTTTATAAACACTATATCCGATACATTCATATTACATAGTGGATTTCTCCAATTTTTTTTTTGCTCTTAGTGATGTGACTGTAATAGTATGACAATATATACACTGAGATATGATGTTTGGCATGTTTACACACAATAAACAGGACATACCTGATAAAATGGGATACTCATGTCCATTTAAATCAGCGATTACCTCACAATCATCAGTCACAGGGCTGACTTTGGTAGCAAATGTCGAAGTATGTGAAGTATTTTTGTTATCATAATGATAGTAACTATTCTGGTTATTTCTTTTTTGAGATTTGCAGCTGTTATTAGCTCAGTTTTCCTAAAACAGATTCCCATTAGGCACTGATGTATAGATGGGTCATCTGGTTTGTGTTACTGCCTGTTTGCTTTCTGTTAGGATTCTGACACTTACAGTGAGTGGCATTTGTCTCCACTGGATAGAAATTTGCACTGCCAGCATGTCATAATATCCTGTGGATGATAAAAAGCAGGTGGAGAAAGGAAAGGAGGCCCTCATTTCTGTAGTAATTCATCAAACTTTTACAGTTCTCTCCTGCTTGTTGTACTTTCACTTCGTCTTTCCATTTTTTGATTTCCATCCGCTTTAAGTCCTACACTGTTAAATAGTTTTTTACTGGTAACTTCCTTTACTTAGCCTCTGTGTTAAATTTACAATAATGTATTCTTAGTGTTTTGTTGTGGAAAACAATCACAAACCTTTTAGAAGAGGGGTCGTGTGGGAATGAAAGAGTAATGTTTCAGACTTTTTGGCATCATCACTCTATTACGTACCTACAATATCAATAGTGTGCAGTTACATATTGTAAAATGATCCGAGCAAGGCAAAAATATGGTAAGTGGCACTAGATATCAACACAAGATAAAAAAAAAAAGGGGACAATAAAACCCAATAAAAAAAAAGTGAAAACGAAACGAAGAACCGGAACCCCAAGAATTGGGGCAAAAGACAAAAGGAAAACAAAACAAAAAAAAACCGAGTGAAACAACAAAAACCAAACAATGTGCATATGTAAAACTTTGAGTTTGTTATTTATAGTTGTTAAATATGGATGAGTTATATTTCAATTCACTTCAGTTTGATTTTATTTATATTTTGCCACATCACAGCAGCAGTTGCCTCAAGGTGCTTTATACTTAAAGGTGAAGACCCTTCAAATATACACTGAAAAAAACCCAACAGACACATGAGCTCTGTGACCAGCAGGTGACAGCGTGAAGGAAAAACTCCCTTTTAACAGGAAGAATCTTCAATACAAAATGAGTGTCTTTTATGAACTATTTTTTTACTTGAAGTAATCTGATTGCATGATCAAAGATAACAAACTACCTTATGTCCTTAACATTTTTCACTGGCAACAAATAAAGCTTTGTTTTCAAAGTACACCCCAGCTATAACACAGATTGTTACACTGAGTCTAAAAACTAAAAATATTCCATTTTTATAACACTATTGTTCAGGTGGATGTTTATGATGTGTATGATTTGAAGAGGGAGGCGAATAATCATATTGAGATTATGATCACAGCTATGTGATAATAACACATATGTTAAATAAATTAAATAAATAATGTTAAATCTGGCTACTAGATCTGCATTCATCTTTTTCCTGCAGTGCTACCCTGTAGCTTTCCAGCTTTAACTTTTGTCACCTGTCAAACAACTGAAATGGTGTTCATAGGGCTTGTCTTTAAATGTGTACATCTCTGAGGTGATTATAGTTAGAATCACATAGAACTGGAATTTTTGCACATGCATTTTTGTTTACCTTGGAATGTTGTCATCAACTGTGGCGCATCCATACAAAAAGACAATGACCCCCACTAGTGAGGCAGGAATCAGCATCTGGGTATACAGGCCTAGCCAAGCAAAGTACAGCCCAATCTTCTCACCAAAATACTTCCTAAACACCCAGGGAAACAGATAAAAAATCATTTTTATTACACAAATCTAAACTGTAGTATATTGTTTTCCCCTTATTTACCACTATCTGCACAGACACAAAGGAATCGTTTCCTGCATACTCTAACAATATATCCATAATAAGTATACATCTATATTCTAGCTCATTAATATGGTTGATCCAGAAGTATAAGTTGTGGTAAGCAGGAGGTGGCTTATTGTGGAGGTGGATGATGGCCATGTAATGTTGTCAGATGCAATATGTGGATATTTGAGCAGTTATAGTAATTAATATAGTGCTTTATCCTACACGCTTTATCAAACTCCCATTCAGCCAGTTTAGAATCACCAATTAATCTTATATGTATGAGGGAGGAAGCAGGAGTAGAAGGAGAAGGTCTCGAGTTAGAAAGACCAGGGTGTATATGTGACTAGTGTTTATTGATGATCTGACTGCTAGAAGCAACAGGATGAACAATGAAATGCACAGGGTCCTACTCTGATCTGAACCCAACATGAGTTTTAGTTGCAAGAGACAAATCCAAAGACAGAGAGATCCACAACTAAGCAGCAACTGAAGATGGCTGCAGTAAAGGCCTGCAAAGCATCTCAAAGGGAAGAAACACAGTATCTGAAACAGGGTATATAAAAATGGCTGTAATTCCTAAATAGTTTACTTGAAAACGTATTATAAACCCCCTAAATTGAAGCCTGTCTGCACTTTAATTACATTGCAATTGTTCTAGCTGCATCATTGCAAAAGCGATGTCATTTTTCAAATTAAGGAATGTTCTTACCGCACAAGTCCGATTGGCTGGTACTTGTAGAATACGCCATAGTTTGCCCACTCCTCATATAAAAGCTGGAGAAGACATTCACATATTTTATATATGTGTGTGTGTGTGTGTGTGTGTGTGTGTGTGTGTGTGTGTGTGTTGACACAATAAAAGGTATTAAACACGTCACTAATTTTCTAAGTAAATCATTTTTAAACGTCCTATTGACATGAAATTCTCACCAGATGTCGGTAACAACCCATCCAATCCACACTTACAAAGGAATAAAGCCATAGATGCCCAGAAATGAATATGTGATATGAGCCATGTAATAATGAGAATAATAATGTAATAATAATGAGATGCAGGGAAAAAGTACTAAACACATAAAGAAAAAGAGGTGCAAAAGGCATGAAAAGTCATGACACCAGCTGAAATCTATCAGTAATTAGAAAGCAATCCTGCCACCTAGTGTTAATTAATACCAGCTGGTTCAGTCCAACTGAAGGCCTATAAAAATGTGTCTCTTTACCGAGGTGCCACAGAACAAACATTTCATGATGGATAAACCAGTGAGCTCTCTCAAGACATTTTCACATTCTTACCTTTCTGTCATTGGGGTCTGCACTCTCTTCATCAATGTCTCCCTGAAATAGAATATAGGAAATTGAAGTTTGTAAACTTGGTGTTTGCTCTTACTGTAGTACTTCATCAGTGCACAATTTCTCTAGAATCACCTGCAAATCATATTTTTGATATTGACTTAAAGTGTCACTAGCAGCATGGCTTGAGGTCTAACTGTCTAACTGGCTCAGTGAATTGGACACCCAGCTCTGCACCACTGAAAAAAATACTATAACTAGCCCAACCCCAGCAGTTAGTTCAGGCCAAATAAACTTAGCCATAACTGTCCTCCAACAGGTCCTCCCAAGCAGCTGGAAAATCAGCAGCTCGGTGACTATAAGGTTCCTCCTCACAATTTGGCCCTAAACAGAAGCACCCTGGTGCACCGCAAACCCACATTTCAAATCCATTTTCCCCAGTCAGCTACACACCCGTAACTCTGGCAATTGGCCACTCCATTCTTAGACACATGACCCTGGAGACTCCAGCGACCATAGCTGATTGTCTTCCAAGTGCCAGAGCAAATCCCCCAGCTCACCTCTATACAAAAGTGGAATAAGGAACTTAACATTCAGCAGTTTTATGGTTACAGTAATTGAGCGTGCTATAAACATAGTATATCTATATGTGATTTTGCTATTGGTAATTATGCATAAATCTAATCAATATAATGAATGAGATGTATTGAGATGAAAAGAGGATGCAGTAGAGCACTGCTTAGACAGGTTGTGAGATACAGGAAAGTACTGAATGTTCCAACAGCATGGAAAGCGTGAGTGTGTCTGTGTATGTGCATGTATGCATGTGCACATGTGTGTGTGCCTAAGTGTGTGTGTGTGTGTGTGTGTGTGTGTGTGTGTGTAATAGGTGTGAGTGATGGGTAAGGGGAGAGAGGTGTGTGATACATATGACCACATGGGTATAAAAGAGGACTCTTAGGAAGGTGTGGTGTGTGTCCTCTATTGTCCTGTGGCTGAGTAGAGAGCAACAACAGAAGAAAGGACTTTGGAGTTCACAAGTTTCACCTGGAAGACCAGAGGATTAACCACTGCCCAACCAATGTGAATTTATGAATTGGAATTATACTTCTCAGCTTTTACTCTGCTTGGCTGTGTTGGATTAAGGTCTCAAAGAAATTGGAGGACTTTGTACTGACTCACTGCTTCCCCATTTGGCTTTATCAGGCTTGAGACAGAGATGAGTGCATTCATCTCATGACCAGTATAAGAAATCAGCATTAGCATAGAGTAGATCAGTTAGATGAGGATGTGATTATTACTAATTGAGTCAATCTTTGTTTTGCCCCTTCTAAATTGCTTCAAATTTTACTTTTATCCAGTAATGGTAAAAGGATTCATATAAATATTAGATCTTACAGGCTGCTCTTAGCCTATTTTCTCCTGGCCATTAAAGTATAACATAACCAATTTTACCCAGTGAACTGATCATAAAGAAGTGGTGCTGTTAACGGATGTGGCTGAGAAATCACACTTGACCTGCAATGCTACTTAAGCAGTGACCATCTGAGAAGGTTGGATAGACATCCAGTGAGAGCTAGGTGAGTCTCCTCAACACTGCCTCAAGAAACAGGTTCTGCATTGCCTGTCAGCGGAGCGCCTCTTGGAATCAAAAACTTGGATCTTTTGAATAAAGAGCAAGTCCAGACCTCCTGTATGGGAGTAACTGGCCAATTCAAAATGCTCAAGAACAGGCCAAATTGTGGGGGGAAAAAAACCCTCTCAAGCTCTGGAAAAAATGTTTGAAATGTTTGAAGCCCATATTAATTTCTAGTAGAATGATAGAAAGACAAAAATATGAAGAAGGAAAGAAAGAGCTCATTATCCAAGACTTACCACATCATCTATCCAACATGATGCAGGTTTAATCATGTACTACTGTTAATGGAACTGGGTAAGTAGTGTTTGATGTGACTGCTGATAGAAGCAGCAGGATGAACTGAAGTGTACAACATGTACTATCTGCTCATCAGACAGAGCTACACAGTGCAAATGGACAATGATCCAAAACAAAGTGTGAAAGAAACCCAAGAGTTTCTCAAGACAAGCAAATACGATGTTATCCAATGGCCAAGCCAATCACCTGATCTCAGTCTTTTCAGTTACTGAAGATAAAACTGAAGACAGGCAGGCCTTTAGACTACAGAAGAAGCCAAATTAGTGCAATTCATTAATGTGGTTAATGCAATGCTTTGGTTAAACCCCCTGAAGAAAAGATGAAAGTCTAAACTTCACTGACTTTAAAACCAACTGTGGTTCTGTACAGGGGCAAAATTACCAAAAGGAACCACAAAACAAAGTTGTATACACACCACTGATGTGTCACCAGCAAAGAAACCTTTACTGTAAGGCACTGCACCACCATTTTATACTCGGTAAACTAAAACCACAAATATTTCTAATCCAATAATTATTTGCTCTAACAAAGATACTACTTACATCATGAAGAGGATAAGCTGCAGTATACACCCCACTACCAAGGAGACTGGTGATACCTGCCAAGAAAGCATAAATGCAGATGTTCATACAGATTCTAAATTATAATACTCAAGAATATGACCGCATTGGGTCATTCCATCTTTAACCATTCAATTTTTAGAATATTTTCTGTTCAGCCATCTCTGATTTGCATAAAAATGTTGAAATCAAAAGGTGTCTCATTACCAAGGTGTCACACAAGAAACATCTCAGGATGGGTAAAACCAGCGAACTCTCTCAACACCTTTGCAACCTTATTGTTGCGAAGCAAACTGATGGCATTGGTTAAAGAAGAATTTCAGGGCTTGCTTTGCAACCGAACGATTTAGTCACCAACCAAAGGACTTGGGCATCTTGCAAGTTGTACAGAAAACAATTACTTAAATTTCTGCTGCTAAAGGTGGTTCTACAAGCTACTGAATCCTGCGATGTACTAAGTTTTTCTTGACTCCACAGAGACTCAAAAGTAACTGGACGATTGACTAATAAGTAGGTCAGGAATAGGAAAAGGCCTGAACACAAGAGAAGACAACATAAGTGGATGAGTGCAGAATTCTTTCCTTGATTCTGTAAAACAGCATCACAACATATAACCATGTCAAGGATGCTCTCGAGGAGGTACGCATATCATTTCACAAAGTCCAAAATTAAGAAACGCCTTCCTGAATGTTCATACAGAAGGTTTGCCACTGGTTACTATCAAGACCAGGAAGGCCAACATAGATTTTACCAGGAAAAAAAGTCGAAAAGAGCTTGCCCAAATGAAACTCTCTGCCCAGATGAAACCCAGATTAACTTGTACCAAAATGATGGGATGAGAACAGTATGAAAAAGGAAAGAAACAGCTCATGATCTGAAGCATATCACATCAACTGTTGGCCATGGCTATGTATGGCTGTTAATGGAATTGTGTAAGAAGTGTTTATTGATGATTCATCTGCTTACATTTAGATAATGACCCAAAGCAAACTGCAAACGTGATCCAAGAATTTCTTAAGGCAAAGAAGTGGGATGTTGTTCTTTTGTCAAGTCATATACCTGAATCCTAGACTTAGGGTTAGGGACTATAGTTAGAATAATGGTTATGGTTAAGGGTTAGGGTTTAGTGTGTGGTGTGATGGTGTTTCCAAGTCGGAAAACTATGACATCACAACAATGAGATTGGTTGCAGTACTTGCAATGCTGAACTTGGACCAACAACTGTAATAGTGTTCCAGGAAACACAACAACACTGGAAATGAGATCATATACTGTGAGATAGGCCTCAAGACAAATATTTCTTTGAGTCTCTCTCTCTCTC